CACTTTTCGCATTTTAGCGCGAATAGTGGCGCCACTTAAAACGCGCTACTATTCGCGCTAAAATGCGAAAAGTGATTTGAATCAAGAGATACTTTGCTGCCCGTCGATTCACATAATAAGCTCTTCAGAAAAAAAATTTGGACCGATTCTGTTCCCCGTATAAAAAGTCGGTTTTGCGCTGATGTTAGGGTTGACCAAAAGTTTGTAGAACGATGATGCTCGCTCCCCTCACACCGTGATCAAAACCTTTGATCAGCTCTAAATATATTTTGATAGCGCTTGAATTTCTCTATCGTCCTATATATTTGTCTGCTGTTCTGCATTTATCTATTGCAAAAATAACTTGAGTACGATGGAGATACCCTCAATTGACAAGTACGAAAATTCGCTACTTTTTATGCTTTTTCAAATTATAGATACTATGAAAATAAATCTTTCTAAAAGGAATTAAACATTCTGATAGAGCTTCAAATTCTCTATCATCCTGTATATTTCTGTTCTATCTTGCATTTCTGTGCTGAAGAATAATTTGACTATCATGCAGGCACGCTTGTCAGTTGAGGGTGTCTTCATTGTACTTTAGTGGTCTTCATTTGTCTTCATTGTACTTTGTAAGTTATTTTTGCAATAGATAAATGCAAGACAGTAGACAAATATATAGGACGATAGAGAATTTCCAACTCTATCAGAATATACTTAGGGCTGACCAAAAGTTTTGATCACGGCGTGAGGGGAGGGCAGAATCACCGTTCTACTAACTTTTGCTCAACCCTAAGTATATACTTATTATATTTGTATATATTGTTTTATTTGTTCTGTTATTTTAATGAAAATTTATTATCTCAATTGAGACATTAGACTTTAATATACTAAGATTCGTTGTTTCAATTTCAACGTCAGAGTTTATTATCTCTTTTAAAACGACATTTTATTGTCTCTTTTCGGTCCGTTCACTTTATTGTCTCATATGGGAGTGAGCCTTTTCATCTCATATTTAGTCAACCGACAGAGTGAATCTCAAGAGACGGACGTCTAAATATGAAAAAAAAAAATTGTTTTCTTTTAATGATCATGAATTATATGGGTAAGAGGAAGAAAACAGAGAGAGTTTGAATGAGGCACAACAATATGATCATTCTCATTCCATTATCTGTATTTTTGGTGGAGTATTCTCGTTTCGTCGACAAAGCGGCCACTTCAAAGAATATAGATCAGAGAACATCAGAGGCGGGAGGGGCGGTGTGAGAGTGAGTTGTCGACGAAACAAGAATGCTTCATTTTTAGTGATTCAACCGAATCGACCCATACTACTTTTTGAACTATTTCAAATAACATGATAAAACCATTCATGTGCGTTGGTCATACTAAACCATTTTAGATTGAACTTGCAGTTAATATAAAGTCGCAGACATAAGTCGTCTCAGTTATGTATTATTGTTGTGCATGTTGTTTCACTATATCTTTCTCTAGATCACAATTTAAAATTTTACAGAATTCTAATTTGGAGTCCGTAGTTGTGTAACACAAACTCTTTGTACATGACAAGGAGTACCTGTGTCATGTGTAAAAAATTTTATGATATTATATTTTCACTCTCTAATATTGTTTCCTTTACAGTTGATTGAACTTCATTTACCATCATAAAATTCTTCAAAGAATGGATGAAAATCCTTAGCAACTGATTTAAAGATAAGAATTCTTTCCAACTACAATAGATACAAATATTTCTAGATTTTCGAGCATTCCTGTTTCATGTGACGGTAACAACCATTAGTAAAATTCTCCTGATTCAGCAATTGTTTATCACATAAAATAAGACAAAAATAATCTTAACGAAAAACATCGCACATAAATATGTAATAGATAGAAAGTAGTTTTTATCATGTTCACATCTAGAACATGACATTTTATTTTTTGTTAATCTTCAGCAGTATCAATCGCTTTTAGAGTTCACTATCCAACAAATTTTAGACCAAAGTGTATTCTCGATCGATGATCCTTTATTCAACAGAAACAAAATGGACAAACAAGATTCCTTCACACTTGTTGATCGTCATTATTATCATCATTATTATGTTCATTCTCCTCTCCCACTTTGGATTCATTTGTATCTGTTGAGTTTTTTGATCTACAACAGAAACAAACATTAAATTATACCATTTCAATTAGAACACGTAATATCTAGTTCAATTCCACACATGGCTCTCATTATCAAATGACTTACTCATACAGTATTACGGCTAGAGATTTTAATTTCGAATATTTGATTAATCCAGTTTGTTCACGTACTCGTTGTTTGCTAACACGTTGAGCTTTTAGAAAAATACATCAATAAATTAAATGCTGAAAAACATAAGCACTAACTGAATCATACCATAACTAGGATCCTCTTTTCTCCGCTGTTCACCCTCTTTTCGAATTCGTTCATTCATTTCTCCTTTTTGTTCATCCATCAATTGATTGAAAAAGAAATAAGATGCAATATCTTAAGTGAATTAATAGAACAAGTTAAGGTTATGACTCATGAAATGTTTAAAACTATAACATGAATAAAAAGGATACGTGCTAATTTGTTCATGCTAACAAATCCATTGAGTTTATCCCACTGTGCATGTCGTTCTGCGTGACGAAACATTCTTGAAACAACTCGTTCGTCCGCTGAAAAAACAATATTTTCCATAGCAGATCGAAATTCCATTTCGTTCATCATATCATAATTTTGTGTTAATTGAACGCTAAGTTTATATTGCATCTAAACAATATCAAACAGAGGGTATTATAGATAAAAATTTCTTATACTTTTCATTCTCACTTCTTGAAATAATGGTTCTTTTTCTTTTAATAGTAAATGTATCACAAATTCATATATATAGGATTTACTTATTTTATTCTCGGTGAATGATGTGTAATCAATCACAAGTACATCGAGACCTTCTTCCTAAATGATATGAATTTTAAAAATTATCATTTTCTTTATTCTTATTTTTCAATATTTACATCTAAAAATGGATAAATAATTGCGAAAAATGGTCGAACATCTTCTGTTTCAAACCAATCAATCTGATCTAGAATATCAGCTAACACTGTTAGATAATAGACACAACATAAATCAATGTTGCCAATTAAAACATGACTAAATAAGTCAAAAATCTAAACGAAAATTAAAGTTAATCTTATTTAAAAGGAGTATCTCTTGCATATTTTATACTTTTAAATCATTTGCATAGATATTTAACGATGTAAAAAAATCATAAACGGCATTATACATCATTTCTTCAACACCATAACGTGATTCAAAAAATGCATACAAATCATCCTAGTAAAATAAAAGACTTAATCATTTTTATATCTATTTGAAAAAGCTGATTCAATGATTCAACACGTACAACAACATTGCCAATAATATTCAACAATTTTGAATCACAACTTATTTCGTACGCAAGAAATTCTTCAAGTACCACTAACAAACGATTCTATTAAAAATAAATAAATATAATCACATTTTATTCATACAACTGTTACGTACCAGACTAAATGGTCTTGGAACAACTCGTTTAATAGCCGTTCGTGTTTTAAAGTCTGCCCATACCCGATCGAAGGTGTAAATCTTAAACGATAAAAAATCCGCCCTCTGTTATAATGGAAAAAAGGGAGCCGCATATGAAGACGAATCGGTTCAATACTTTTTTCTTGATTTTCTGTATTCGAAAAGTATTAGAAAGTAGTTTTTATTAACTTATTTTGGGTGTTTACATCGAGAAACTATGACTGTTTGCCAAGTGAGAAAAGGCGGCTCCGGGACCTTTCCGGAGCCCTTAGAATGTTTTCCGAAACTTGAGATGCGAAGAAAGCCTTTTTCTCCTTGATGTTTGCTCTCCAACTGAACATTTGTTGAAGTATTACGCTTTCAAAAAAGATGTGAAAAACAAAAACATTTTACAACCAAGTTTTCTACAGGGTGGCACATAACCTTTGCCTCCCACTCTATAACCTAAAGTATCAATGATATCACAAATGTATTTTATATCAAACTAAAGCGCGTCAAAAACTGGATTTATTGGTACTAAATACTAAAGATTATGAAGGCCTTTTAGTGTCGAACTTACGAAATTTTCAGAAATTCTATACTTTTTTGGCGTAGAAAATTAAGATGCTAGTAATTCAAAAATGGAGTAAAACGTTTTTCTTGGAAATTTTTACATGGTTCGATAGAGTTCAACGAGCTCTACAAAACTATATGTATCAGAAAAATTTTGAGCCATCTTTTTTGAAATAAAAAAATTCAAAAATCGGTTGGAAAATCGCAAAAAATGTTAAAAAAACTCATTTTTTCCTGTGGAAGAAGACACTCGATTTTTCAATAAAATTAGCTTCTCTCATTATTTTTTGCTACCTCACACGTTTCGAAATATACTCCTTTCATGCCGCGTAAAAAACTGCATCTATTAAGTACACTTCGTAACGTGTGAGGTAG